CGTTGAGGAAGTTGCGAGAAATCAGTACGTATCTTTGTCTTTTATCCTTTGTCAAACGCAAGGAACGACTCTGTTTTAATTTCTTTTTCCAAGAGCGCTACCTGTTATAAATTCTTTTCTATTTCACAAGCTTGGAAAAATTAACCAATTTGCGTTCAGTTGAAAACAACATTTAACAGTAATCATTTAATAAAAGATATATTTTGCAGTTTTGAAACATTATGCTCTGAAATGCTTAACTTTAAGCCTTCTTATATTTGTAAAATAAACAATTTCAGTTCAGACTTCGGATGAATAATAAGAAAGACTGAATGAATGACAGTCACTTGTTTCCACCTAGTTTGTGTGTGTGTGTGATTTCCTCGATATATATATATTCCCCTCGATGTGGATTCGTGTTTGCGATGATGGGAAATATTCTATTTGCGCACTTTACTTTTTCTAAAATTCGAACACACATCTACATGTTTACTGCACGTGGCGCTCGTGAAAGGGAGATCTTGGAAGTTGAATGTTACCTGAGCTGAAAATGACACCTCGGGTTGACATAAGATGCTGGTTTGGCCTTGAATTGCTATGAACAGTTTGTTTGTTTTTGAATTTCGCGCAAAGCTACACGAGAGCTGTCTGCGCTAGCCGTCCCCAATTTAGCAGTGTAAGACTAGAGGAAAGGCAGCTAGTCATCACCACACACCGCCAACTCTTAGGCTACTCTTTTACCAACGAATAGTGGGATTGGTCTGGCGTTGTGTTTGGATAAAGGGGAAGTGCAGTGCATCAAAACAATTAATAACATAGTTTTTGCTGAGACACATAAAATAGTAGTACCGAGCTATGAGCTTTGGTTGTGCATTCCATCATTTTGATTGTGGTACAAACATTCATCTTTGTACCACCATCCGAGTGTTTTCTCCCAATTAGAAGACTCAGCTCCATCCTCTGACAAGACTCTCTAATCCTTCCTTTATCTATCTGCATGAATCTGAGTGTTAGAGTTTTACACGATCTATTGCTGTCTACAAGACCATTATGTAGCCTTAGAGTCGTTACGTGCGAAGTCTTCTACTTCTAGGACTTGTTCTATGGACGTAGATAGACCTACCATGGGCAAGAAAGACCTCCGAAATTTCAGACACAAGAGTAAATACTCCCAAACCTTCATTACTTATACCCACTGAACCTTGTAGCTACTATTGAGTGGAACTGTCGAGGTTTTCACACTGACCTGGAGGACACCATGAGATTGTTTGATTTTTATCAACCTACTTGCAAACAAAAATAATTCTTAAAACCTACCAACAAATGTCTTATTGGCAGCTTACGTTTGAATTGAAAGACAGGATGTGTGGTGGGCAATTTCATGGGGCTGTGGCAATGCTTGTATACCATCACACTCCATCCATGACTGTATCACTTTACATGTCACTGGAGACCATTACAATTCATGTCTCTATTCCTTGTGTAGTAGTTGCGTATGGTGTTTCTCACACCTCCAAATTCGTAGTCATTATCCAGTCAATGAATGACTCGCCCGCTTTATGGATTGCACCATATAACCCCCCGTACCGGACAGTGCAACACGAGATGGTCTGTGTCTTGTGGGTATTCCCGACATGCTGGGCATATAGGGGATTCACGATAACCCCATCGATGCAGGTTGTCCGCTGTTCTGCCATGGCCTGACCTCAGCCTGTTTGCCTGTGTCCATTGATTTCTGGTTAGGTGATATAAACCGGGCAGTGGCTCAGTGGGGTCCCCCACCAGATCTCCACTCCCTCCAAACTTCCTTAATGTTGAAGTTTTCTTTCGTATTGGTTGTGTGAACATACTTCTTCTGTGCATTATATCATTCAATTAGATCTTGATGGTTTAGTCAGCTACTGTTTATTTTTGTCGGATATGGCCAAGTTTGGGGTTGTGCTGTTAAAAAATTGTAGTTTACCAACATAATCTAGCTTGCACCGAAACACTTGATAATGTATATAGCATCTCAAACACTACTACATCTGTCGTTTCTCAAGCCAGCCTGGAGAGTGTTGGTATTGAGGCGAAAAGCCTCTTCGGTAATAAATATAGCAGATACAGCGAGGTTGAAATATTTCATTTTTTCTTAATTTCACTCATAAGTTCGATAATTACTAACGTAGTCTTCTCCTGTTGTCGATGTGGTCTAAAAACCAGCTTCTGTTACGTTTTTTAATGATGAGTAAAGTGTTAATTAAAGTAAAATAAACAGATAGATACAAATAATTTGGTGTTAAGATAGATAAGTTGACGGTCATAAAATCATAAACCTAATTTTGATGTACAATACGTAAATAAAATTGATAAAAATTCAGTTCACACCGAAACAATTTGATTTAAATAGCACTTCGGTTACTACTGTTACCGTTGTATCCCAGCCAATCTAACGAGACCTGGTATCGATTGAATGGCTTGGTCGGCACTAGATATAGCACGTATAGTGTGGCTAACATATCATTATACTCTTTTTTTACTTTAATAAGATCTTATAACTCATTCACGTGGAAGGAGTAGGTCCGTGTGTCACCTGCTCTTGGATCTTAATCTCTTCCTATTAATTTACGTTACCATGACGTATTTCCACATTCAAACTCTGGATTTTACTTTGTGTGCGATCTACTCTTTTCTTAAAATAGGACAACAATTCACATGGTATCGATACTTCTCCGAGAGTAGGTTTTTTAACAAGGCTTCAGTTTAGCCATTGGTTTTAACTCATCACCACATTTTACTTAGCAGCGACATGTTTGTTTGTAGTTAAGCATAAAGCTACACAACGAGCTAGCTGTGCTCTGCCAACCACGGGTATCGAAGCCCGATTTCTAGCGTTATAAGTCCGCATACATACCGCTTGCCACTGGGTAGTAAGTAGTCATATGCGCGAGCCAAGTAACACTCTGCAATTATCACCCATATTTCAATCTCTTCACATTCTACGGGGAGAAAATGACATCTTTATTTACCTTATGAACCTTTGACGTTAGAGTGTTGTTTTTTTTTCGAGTCATTGCCTTTTATGAACATTTTTTTTTCTTTTATTATTTTGTAAACATTTTTTAAAAATTACATTGCGTTATTTACCTAGTTTGTCACAAATGATTTCAGTGGCCTTACGTTAAGAACTCCTTAACACTGAAATCAGTCAACCATATATAATTAGGTTTTTTAGCCTTTGTTCTCTTTATGTTGTCAATATTCTTTCATTAGTTGTTTCTTACTTCTTTTCATTTTAGTTCTATCTATATTGCAGTTAATTAATGTTCTATTTTCATCTCCCATCACAACTTCAGCCTTCAGTCGACTCTTCTTGTCTCTACATGATTTCAAATATACACAATTCTCGTTCTCTCTTTTCTCTAATATTATTCCATATTTGCATCCGAGCTGCTTTTAGTCTTGTTTAAAACTATGTTACATCATTGTACTCAAACATGGATAATCAAGACCCTTATCTCCAGTGCGATGGAATAATTCTTTAAGCTATGTGTTTGGAATATAAGTTTTGATTACAACAGAATAAAGAACCTGAAAAAGGTAAATAAAATGGTTGGACTTCCGAGAATTTGATCAAAAATTATGCAGCATTTTTAAAATTAGATTTATCCAAGAACTGTGTGTGTGTGTGTGTGTGTGTGTGTGTGTGTGTGTGTGTGTGTGTGTGTGCGCGCGCGCGCGCGTTTGAGAGTTATTTCTGCAGTTGGTTCTACATAAACTAAATGCTTTACATGTACCTTTTTTTTATCCGTCTTAGCTTTCCGTTCTATTTTTTTTTTGTAATTCGATTAGAAATATAATCTTTCTAACCTTGCTAATCCTAGCCATTAATAAGTGATTAAAAACAAGACTCATTACAAATGTGCCGACCAAACGTTTCTAAGTTAAAGAAAGGCAAGAGAAAATACAAATATATGTGTATATAATAAGGAATGTATAAAAACAACACACTTTTATTCCTTTATTAAGTGGCACGAGATACCTTTTAGTTTGGAGTTGTTACGTCAGTGAAATCATTGTATGTTATCTTATTTAGTCTAGATATATCAGCTCAACTCTGTATCGGTTAAAATGAAACCGAAAGAAATATCGGAACGCTTTGTGACAGGAGTCGGGTTTCTGAAAAAGACCTTGAGGTCTTTTATCAGTGCGGAAGTAACTGTACTCACTGTGTTATCAATTATTGATGAAAGAACAACAAACACTAAGCGGTGTAGAGAAATGCTTCAAACTTGGTCATCGTGCTTAACTCATGTCGTTGCACGTGTCGGCGCAAAGTACAGAATATCAACTGACTCATAGTCTGTTAACTTGATTGGATAAAAGCACAGAAACTTCGTGTTTTTTTTTAATCATTTACATTTACAGATATAGATAGAGAAAGAGATTGGGCAACAATTATGTTGATTTTAAAATCTAAAGTTAAGAAAGTGTAAAAATATTTCCATCAGAAGATAAGCTTTAGTTAGTACCCTCTTCAGTCCGATTGTATTTTTACAATTCTGTGTCAACAGAAGTATCCACCATTCTACAACCGGCCACAGGCGATACTTGGTAGGAGTTGTCCTTTAAGTAGCTTTTAAGTCACAACGTGCAAGTTATCTTTCTCCAGCATTTTTTTTTTATTTACAAAAAATAAAGGTAGAAAATTTGCTTATTTACAGAATGAGATAACAAAAAGAGCAACAGGTAATTTTCCTTGAACTGTAACGCAACCCTTAAATATATAGCGATAAAAAGAATCTAAATAGTTAAGGTTTTATCATAAGAACAATATATATGACTGCAACAAGAGCAGATCATTTATATGGTTTTATTTATATTTCCTCGTGTGATATGACACCGTCTCTAAGCTTCGATTAATATATTTGAAACTTTACAATTAAATGAAATATAGTGAAATCCTTATGATGCTACTTTTCTCCTTTTTTTTTGTACACTCTGTGCGACTTGAAATATTTACTTTCTACTATTTTCATACATTTCGTGCTCTACGAAAACGCCTGTATTGTGAACATAACATGAAGATAATGAAAGTATGATATTTGGACAATTCGCTAAGACTGGAATCAGCAAAGAACTCATTACTATCTCAAACCAAACAGGTCCAGGGGTTTAGAGACTAAAAATAGAATTGTTTTGTTCGTGAGGAGTATAGCATCACAGAATCAGGAGATCACAACTAATGGTCAAAAGATCGCCTTTCAAAGGAATGACTGAAACTCTGATGGTGCAGTTCATCCTGAAAACAAGTAAAAAACAAGCAATCAGAGAGTGTGATAACGATTCCGATTGAAGGTCACAATTTCACTATCCGTTTTCTTATACAGAGAATTTTCATTAGTAACAAACGTAAAATTATATACAGGGTGGAGTAAAAATGTTACTATACAGTTGAAGCTAAAGAAAATATTACGAAGGCAATTGAAACTAACTTAATTGTTTGTTTCCTAGTTATAAATTAAACTATGCTCTAAATCAAACAACCGTACAGTCATTTTTGCTCCACTTCTTACTTTAGGTCCCCACACCAAAGTTGAAGAATAACTAAAATAATAAGGTGGTGAAAAGACCTAGTACTATTATTTAACATTCAATAACCCACGTTATAAGATTATTAACAGCAATGTCATTATTAACAAGAGCTTTTCAAAGTAAAATAGTGACAGATATTCAAAGCAAGAATAAATTAATGTACACCATATAAAATTGTTGAAGTATTCACACTTATGAAGATTATTTAAATAGTATAATTCCCATGAATATGTAAGTACTTAAAAAATGAAACTTTGTTAAATATTATACAAATGTTAATAATTATATTATTAATTCTCTCAGATAACTCAAAATAAAAAAAATACTCTTTCACTTCTAAAATTCAAGAAAAAATAAATAGTCTGTGTATATAAGAAACCTAAACTGTGATCAATGACTGGAAAGAACGTTATAGTATATTATGCTGTCCACAAGTTTTCACTATTAATCAATTCCGTAGATTTTGGCTGTGAGGGAATGTATAGAATCATTGTAGTATTAAAAAGGTGAAAACACATGAATAATGTATTTAACTATAATATTTACCTATTTTGAAATTGACTAGATGGACATTTTTATGTCATTTTTTTTGCTTCCTGATGAAATAAGATGGGATTGTTCTGTTTCTCTCTCGACTATTGTTATCTGTAACGAGTACTGGTGCAGAAGTTGATGGAGAGGAGGGAGTACTTGTCATCACCTCGCACACCAAATCTTTGATATCACCGTGGCTTAGGCTGTCTACGTCGATGTTCATATCTATAGTTGCAAATCAATACGCTAAAACTTAGCATTTTAATGAAACTGAAAACAACAACAACAAAAAATAAAACAAGTCTGTATGTTTATTCCTCAAAGTACGGACAATAATTAGTTAGAAGTACATCACAAGAAAAATAGGCTAATACGATAACACATTGCCAAGTGGTTACGAATACGGTGTGTCGCCGGGATAATATTCAAACAGTACGCTGACCATAGATTCATGTTTACAGTAGGTTCGTTTGTCTGTCGTAAAGAATTTGAATCATACTAGAAAATTAACCATTCCATATACGTGTTTTTGTTGGTACTGCAGGAAGTACATATCATACACTAGTGTAATATATGTACAAGTAGTTCCAGCTGCGAAATATGTTGTATTTTAATTTTAAAGTGGTTTATACAAGAAGCAGAACAAGGTACAGAGGGCGCTATCTCAAGACCAACGTGGCTTTGGAAACGTGCCACAGCATCCGTTATGTTCACCTGTTACTTAGAAGTGATGTGTACATTATTATCGTCTGCAAAATAACAAGGTAAAAACACATCCCAAACGCTACGATAAATATATTTAGATTTTATATAAATAGTTAACAAGCATTTATCACATGGCTTCATTTTAAGTTATTTGGCGATCAGTCTCTTAAGCACTAGGTTTAAATTGATTAGGATGGCATTACAAGCTGCTTCAACAAATGTATAAACAAGTTTAAAACGAATGAAATAAAACATTTCTACATGGCGAACTTCAAACAGAAGCAAGATAAATCAAAACACCACACAACATTTGAGTCTTACTTAAGGGTTTCCGAAAGTTCTTATTTCACGTGTTAATATGCTGCCTATCTGTACAGCGGGCAATGAAAAATACTGTTTTTGGAACATTTATTAAAGCACACTGCGTGACAGTTTGGTTATTTCATGATTGTTGTTGAATTTTCCACAAAGATACTCGAGCTATTGTAATATAATAGTAGGCTTGACCATCATTCATATAACGCACCCACAACCTTAAAGTGGGGAGCGCAATTGTTTTTATCTATAACGAAAGAATTTAAGTCATTTGAACAAAATAAAAACAATACTCATACTGGAACTGGACGTGCCCTAGCGGTTAGCATGCCTAGCTGTGGATCCTGCTTCGCATAGTTGTCGAAATAAAATCGCGCTTTGCTCTTTTGGGCAGTGGTAGCATTACAAAAGTGGCATTCAAATCTCACTATTGGAGCAGAGTAGCCCAAAAGTTGGCGATGGGTGCTATTGACGAACTGCCCTCCCTCTAATCTATCAGTACAAAATTAGGGACCATTAGCCCTTGTATAGATTTGCGTATAGATTCGAAACTGAATTGATAAGACTACTCTTCTTCTATTATATAGTGTGAAAAAGTTATATGGGATAATTTATATATATCCTCATTTATACAAAACAGACTACACGTAAGAAAACACTTATCAACAGATACGATATCGAACTCTTTTACTTTTGTCTGATTCCACTTACACGAGTTTGTCACAATTATTTCGACCAACCTCGGCATATCAACTTCAAAGGCATTTCGACTGAAATGGGAACATTTATTTTATTCATTTAGAATTAAAATTACGTTATATCGAGATAGTGGAATCTACGATATTGACAAAATCACGTGACCTATAGTATAATTTAATCAGTCAGTGCTCAAACGAATGGCAAATAAAAGGCGATGGGATAATGAAGAGAATGCAGAAACGAGTAAACAAAAGCTTGAGAGTATTATGTCCATCATCCATAGGTACAGGGCGAACCAAAGTAAAGTAATGAGACAAAAATCCACATATAATAAAGGTTTTCAGAATCATCTCGTAAACGAAAGGAAACGATGCTTCACTTGTTATTGTTACGGCCATAAAAACGCTAACAGCGAGAATATCTAATTGACGAAACAATGCACTCTGATCTTCACGTGAAAGAACTTAAGAATCGGCTCTACTCATTACCGGGTTGATTTCAGTCATGATTTATGTAGAAACTTTCCTTCTTCTAGAGTGAATATTAATTTAAGAGTTTTAGAATTATAAAGAAAGAAAATGAATCCGTCTCACCTTGCATGCACCTTGGCAATCCGCCAGTCTTTAATCTCGCTAGCAGAGCGTTGTGTAGCTGATCTATATAACGAATGGCTTCCTCTATAACAGTGACCTGTAGGATTAATAATTAGTAAAATCTTATTAACACTTGCCCCCTGAAACACTTTGTTAGAACTTGGGGAGAATTTTAGCTGTCAGAAGAAAGCTAGGGAATATTCCTACAACTTAGAACACAATCTTTAAAAGTTTACAACAAAATTGTAACATAAAATTCGCAGTTTCTTACTTTACTCAAACACTGGTTATCCACCGAAAGATTGTGTGTCATCATTGAGAACAATACATTTAGAGAATACTACATTAAACATCGATAATAATTCATGTCAAAGACAACAACAGGAAAAAAAGATAATTTGATTTAAATAGCTATATTTCATACCAAGAAAATTTACAACATTTATTTACATATCATTTATTTTATAACCTAAGCACAAAGGGACTTAATGAGCAGTCAAGTACCTTTATTTGACCAATAAAACAATCTAACCCATATAAAAGCCATTGTTTGTCACGTCACACTTAATTTCTCGAGATAGGAGGAGTCATAAAAGCCAAAATGCATTTATCCAGATAGGCTAGTTCAATTACTGTCTGTTCATTACGACTTTAGTGACGGGGGTGCAAGGGGGATTTGGGGGCGGGTGTGAAACCTTATAAGTATAGTGAGTGTTGGTATAATAAGCCTAAAGTAAAGACGTAGTGTGGGATCACCCAGCCTAGAGCTAATTGACTAAAATTTATCATGAAAGTAAAAAATATCGATTCGATTTTAAAATTAAATCGTTTCCGAATTAAGCTATTTTCTGTTATATCACCAACGTTTTTAATAAAAAACAAACCTCTTTAATCAATGGAGACTAAATTAAGAAATCAAAAAATATTTTTCCAGTTTTGTTGTCTGTACATTTCATTTTATACTTTCAGTACATAGACTAACAACAATAATATTAGGTTATACTTTTGTTGCTAAGCGACATGACATAAAAGCCATGTTTGAACGTAGTGTTAGCAAAACCCACTGGCATTTCAATTAATTAGAAGTTGTTAATCTAACTGATTTTTACCAATTCTATGAATACGCCACGAATTCATTTCATGAATGGTGTTAATTTGGATTGGCTCACAAAGGAACTTACCGACGTTTGACTGCCTCGACTGCACTTTCTTGCCTCTTTGTTGGTCAAGTTTGATTTCACAAAATTTATTTATTTGAGTTAACAATGAAATGTGAGGTTAGAGTATACTATGGGGTGGGGGTGGTAGTACTGTACTTGCCACGTCATTTTTGACGGGATATACGATAGTTATGTTATACAAGATTAAAAAGAAAACATTCCGAGGGACTATCCTCGGCATAAATATCTTAAAGCAACAATCCATTGTTTTTAGAGTCGTTAAGACAAAGCGAATTCCACGCCTTTGTATGATTATTTAAGTGTAAAGCCACATTTGACTATCTGCTGTGTCCACTGCGAGGAATTGAACCCCGGAATATAACAATGTAAGTCCGTAAACTTACCGCTGTCCCACTGGGGGACTCCAAGTCTCTGTATCCGAAGGCATCATAAATCTAAGTAGTTAGATATTATAAACAGGAAACAAAAACACCGTTAGACTTTCATTATTACACGGTGTCCTAACATAGAAAGACAAATGTCTAAAATATACAACAATTCACATAAGAAATCGCGTCAAATGGGTTTTACTGTTTACTCCATGAGCGCCGTATTTAAGAATTGGTGCAAAAAAATGCAGAGAATTACACGGGAAAACATAAAACTAACTAGATGAACCACAAACACAGGAAAACACGCCAACCATTGTTTATCTAAAATGTCCATTGTTGAAACTACTGTACCTTAGAAACCTTAGGCTTCTTAGAGATGGATGGTACCATTGTTCTAAGACGACGGTATTCATGAATTCTCTGTTGTTTCTTTCTCTTCCTGCTTTCTTGAATTCGTCTTTTCACAAATGTTCTATACGTTAATAATGTAGTGGCAGTTGCCCTGGATGCCCGTTTATTTGTAGGTTTTTCAGGAGAAAGTTTATCCATCTTTATTTATTTCAACAGAGGTACCTGAAAGTTAAGAAAAGATGTCACTAAATTTTATGGAATTTCCACCCGAAATTTTCAATATTTTAATATCTATTATGGTCGGTAGTGCCATTGTTGCAGTTCCTTCACGGTATCGAAATAATAGTGAAAAATCAAGACTTGAAATAGAAAGTTACTTTGATTAGCGAAGACATAGATGAAAATTAATCGAAGAGTAAAGCTAAGCATGATTACCGAAACATACCAACTAGAGTTCGTGTGTAGAGTAAAGCTAAACATGATTACCGAAACATACCAACTAGAGTTCGTGTGAAGAGTAAAGCTAAGCATGATTACCGAAACATACCAACTAGAGTTCGTGTGAAAGAGTAAAGCTAAGCATGATCACCGAAACATACCAACTAGAGTTCGTGTGAAGAGTAAAGCTAAGCATGATCACCGAAACATACCAACTAGAGCTCGTGTGAAGAGTAAAGCTAAGCATGATCACCGAAACATACCAACTAGAGTTCGTGTGAAGAGTAAAGCTAAGCACGATCACCGAAACATACCAACTAGAGTTCGTGTGAAGAGTAAAGCTAAGCACGATCACCGAAACATACCAACTAGAGTTCGTGTGAAGAGTAAAGCTAAGC